AAAAAAAAAAAAAAAAAAAAAAAAAAAAAAAAAAAAAAAATTGTCCTCTCATTTCTAGACAATATAGAAACTTTAAATCATCAAAATATACACTGAGCATAAAATAACACATGGTGATAATCAAGTTTGTTTTACTCCATTTATTTTGTAGAATGACTTGAACAAAAGAGCTTTTTTTGCTTTTAACTTTATTTTATAAAAAAGCTATTAGCAGGACTTTTGGTAAGCAAAGCATCCCGTTAAGCCAATACGATGACTTTAATACCATCTGAAAACATCTTGATAATAGACCCACTTACCTGCTTGAAGAATACATGGGACAATAAACTGCTTGCAGATGGTCTGCAATTTTAAAAAGAATTATTAAAATATAAATCTCCTATTAGAATGTAGGTTTTAGTCATATAACTATTAGAAATTAGGTTTCAGCTATAAAACCCAAAACTAAAAAAATTAAAAAGAAAGCTATGTCAGAAGCCCAGTTTGTAGCTCCAGCCTTGACACAGGAAGAATTCTAGAAGTATCCTTGAACTGCTCCATACTCAACAGTTATTGGGGATATATTATTTAGAAGGAATAATGCCAGGCACTAAGGTGCTAAAAAAAGATAAGTCACACATACCTTCTTTCCAAAAAATACTGATGCTAATATAGTTACCTATAGTAATAATTTATATTAATATAATAAGAGGCAATTTACGTTTTTATATTGTTTAGAAGTTTCTAAAATGTCTTAACACAAGTGTGGTAATTAATGCCCAGAAAGAGTAATCTTTACAGAGTGACTTGGTTGCTAAATAGTGTGGCCAAGACTGGAACCAGCTCTTGTGATTTTGAATCCTTTGTTCTTCCATGTACTCATCACCTCTACTTGTTCCCAAGCTTTGACATTTTCTAGATCAGACTAATTTTTTGATTAAAAGATTGACAAAAGAGAATTTTACAGGAAGAGTGCTATCACAAGGCTTCTATAAAATATAAACTCCGTATGTTTTGTGCTACTTAGAGGTAACCAATACCTCTTCTCAGGATCTTGCTGCAGACAGAGCTGTACCAAGCTGAAGAAGGCAGGAGAGAAGGTTTTTGAGGATGGTGTGTGCAGTCGGTCACTGTTGACAGTGTGAGTTCCACTGGAGACAAGCACACTCTCTCCAATCCCAGAGTCTACACCCGACAGGGAAGTTTTCATTCTGGAGTCTGACTGAGGGAAGATACTGAGATCCACTGGGCTGTACGGAGGACCTTTCAGCTTCTGTAACAACATCTAAGAGAAAAATTTCCTTCAACCCCTTGCAGGCAAAATATTAAAACAACAATAATGACAATAAGCACCTAAGAGTCTTACACAAACATGTTTATCAGAGTTATCTAGAATATAAGAGGATCTATAATACGCAAGCAGTTCATGCATTTTAGAAGCATTTACCTGAGTTCTGTGAATGTCCTGAAAAGGTACCTGTCCACTGGCTAATTCACATGCTGTAATCCCAACACTGTAAATGTCCGACTTCACATTATATCCATGTAAATCCTGTAGAACATAATTAGTTCAAGTTCTTTAGCGCAAATAATTTAACAAAAAGTTACATATACATGTTCTTTTGATAAAGGACAGTGAACAGTAGTGGGGGAAAAACCCATAATTAAGATCTACCTAATAATATGGTTTACAATTTAAATTTTCTTACATAATTTTGACAATAAAAAGTCTTGCAGGAGGCCATTCACCAATCCAAATGTAAGGATGCAATTGTCTTTTAGTTAAGCTCAGAAGACACTCAAGACGCACAGACAACCCAATGCAAGGGCCACACCTGACCTGTCTCAGCAGTTCTGGGCTCAGCCACGGCTGCACTGATGTGCTGAAATGTGGGAACTCAAACACAGCCCTATGCCTCTGTCCATGTTTAACCAGACTATGCAGATGGGACAGGCCAGAGAGGGTCACCAGGCCATCACCAGAAAGGAGGATATGGCTGGCTTTAAAACTCCTAGAACAAAAAGAAACAATCCTAAATACTAGGAATCTGGCCAATGAAGACAGAGTAAGTCTGGTCAGAATTAACCCATGTGTTTGCTTGGAAATTAAATATTCCTTATAAAATAGCAGTGTGTCACATTCATTGCTATAAGTATAAGAGATGGCCAAGGAATTAAGGAATTTTTTTCAGCTTCTTAAGGGAAGATGTAATTGAAAGCTACATGATTGAAATTGGTAATTTTTTTCAATTAAGTAGTAGAATCAAAATACTAGTTTTCACTATTTTAGGATATTGTCATAAAAATACCTAAGAATCTTTAAAAAAATAAAATAATATTTGAAGGTTATAATATAAGATTCAATACAATACTAATCCAATAAAAGCCTCTTGTTGTATAACATTATAAAGATATGTCACACAAACACAAACATTTCCTTAATTGTCAGATAAATTACAAGAGCCTTATTTTTTTCATCCAAAGCACTAATAGTGAACATCCAAATTTAGGACACTAACAGAGCAGAAGAGCCAATAATCTGGTAATAAACCTCAGTTAATAAGAATGTAGTCCATTTGAAATCACAATCACGATACTGCGAAAAACAAGAACCAAGATTTATCATATAAAGGTACACAATCCCAATGATAAATGTAACTGTATTCTTTGCTTTAAATGTACCAATAAACAGTGGAAAAAACAAACAAAAAATAAATAAAAACAAAAATACTAGGAAAAAACAAATAGACAAAAAGACAAATAAGAAAGCTTATTTAGAATACACTATAAGGTACACTGGGATACACAGTGTATCTTAGAAGAGCACTGCTTTTCATAGTCAGCCAATTACTTCTACATCTGCCATTTTGTTTTGTTTTGTTTTGTTTTGTTTTGTACCGGGGGTCAAACTCAGAACCTTGCACTTACTAGGCAGGCACGGTGCCACTGAGCTAAATCCCTGGCTGCATCTGCAGTTTGATAACAAAGAGAATTGATATTTAGTATGATAGTCTTAAGGTACTACAATATATTTAAGAAATTAAAGGAAGATTAACTGCCATCTGTACATTGTGTGTGTACTGGAAAGCACATAAAGAAGCTCATAATACTTTTAAAAACAAAAATCCCAACTAACTAGGACACTTTTCCTCTAACATACATGTCTTTATCCCTCATTAGACCAAGCCTGAACCCCCAGGGTCAGCACCTCCCCCCAGAACAAGGACAGTGACCAGCACAGAGGGCGTGGCCTCAGTATCTTTGGTGAATGAACATTAATGGTTAGCATCTGCTATCTGTTGGCCCCCTCTTCAATTCTTATTAATAAATGTCTTACCCACCTCTCTAATACTCAACTGCTCCTTCCTAAAAGCTCCCTAAAAGAAGCCTTTCTTGGACTATTCACTGCCCAGAAATATAGGAGCTTCTGAAATCACAGCAGGATCATAGTGCCTTAGTAAGCAAGGGCAGGAGGAGGCAAAGGCGCTGCACAGGAGGGAGGTGGAGGCCTTAAAACACTCTGAGGAGCTCAGACTTGGGGAAAAAAAGGCTCACTGAGGAGAATGAAGGCAAGTTGAATAAAGCACAATGCTTTTATGAGCGTGAGCTTGATACTTTGAAAAGTTCACAGCTTTTTACAGCAAAAAGCCTGCAGGCTAGTAAAGAAAGGGGAGCTGATCTTTGAAAAGAATTTCAGGGACAGGAAGCAATTTTATGAAAAACCATAGGAAAATTAAAGACAGAGTTACAGATGGTGCAGGACAAAGTCAGCAGCCTTGACAAATGCCAGAGGCTTCAGAGGGCCCTCACCACAGCAGAGAACACTGCTTAGGTTCTTCAAAAACAGCCTGATGATGCCAAGGAGGGAGGAAGCAGAAAGAAGTGGAAAGTGAGCTAGCAGCTGCCAGGAACATTTACAACAGCAAGCATTAGACCTTGTCCTCAAAGCTAGTATGTCTGGCCATAGCATATGTGTAATGCCCAGCTAAAACAAACACTTCCAGAATCATTCAAGACAAAATTTGAATGTTTAAAAATTTCTTCTAATCTAAAACTGTTGGACTGTAGCCAGGCATGGTGGTGTACACCTGTACCCAGCACTTGGGAGGCTGAGGCAAGAGGATCAGGAGTTCCTGGCCCACCTTAGCTACATAGCAAGTTCATCTCCCATCCCCCCAAAAAAAGCATCTGGACTGTAAATATGTTAAAGAACTGTAATATCTTACTAATTAACCATGATGACTCTTTTTAGGAATACGTTTTTATAGAAAGACTAAAAATTAGGCAAAATACCAATAAATCAAAGAAAAAAAGGAAGCGTTCTTTCATTTTATAAAATGGAAATAAGTAAATACCTATGAATGCAGCCATTTTGGTGAAGATAGTTCAGCCCTTGTACTGCTCCAAAGAGAATATTTCTTATTAGAGTTTCGTTCATTCCTTCAGGAAAGTACGTCCTCAAGAGCTGACTCACTGAACCTGAAAGAAAGCACTTTAGATGGACAAGGAAAGTGACTTTATTTCTACCTATGTTTTAAGTGTTCTTTCCAACCATAAACACATTATTCTTTGGAGTCTAGCCACTTTCTCATGAAAAAGTGATTTTCCTTGAGCCTTAAAAGATGTTTTTCTTTCTGGCTAGGGGTATAGTTCAATGGTAGAACACTTGCCTACCACGCTTGATGCCCCACATTTGATCACTAGCACCACCAAAAAAAAAGAGAGAGACTTTTTTCTGATGCTTTTCTGAGATTAGGAAAGAATAAATTTTCAATATTACTAAATAACATACATATTATGTAAGGATATGAAACCCTTAATCAGTTCATAAAACTGTTCGAAAGATCAAAACACTCTTATGCCAAGTACTGTATGAGCCCCTGGGTCACCAAGGCAGAGCATGGAAATGATCACTGCCCTCCAGAAGCTCACATGAGGAGCCAGCCATGCACAGTGGTGTCCACCAGCTCCGATTTATGAGGGAGCCAGCGTGCAGTGACAGGAAGCAGTGGCAGTGGCGTGCAGGAGGGAAACTGCTGCGACCTGCAGAACAGCAGCTGCCTCCCATGAGGAGAGGGAAGGACATGAGAGAGGAGACAGTGTGTGTAATTCTTACAGAATTCTTAAAGCGTCAGCCTTCACTGATCATCCATTCTCCTTTTGCTTACAGATCACAGTCAACATGAACCAGATACAGAAATATATCGTGAAATACAGAATTTGCCATTACATTTATAAACTGAAAGTCACAAATCCTAAATCTAAGACCACACTCATCTTTATAATGATGGCATTCAGGCTAAGTTATTTTATTTAAAAGCAGTTTTCTTACCATAGGCCATAAACGGAGAAATAACCCAAAGCCAGCTGCCAACAGTGAAAACTGTCCAGTAAGTTGTAATATTGGGGTGCCGGAAAAAGTGGGATAGAATCACTGCTCTCTAGGGTAAACATACAAAAACCATTTAAAACACCTTTTTTCCCTATGATGAAGACAACAGAAATAATGGCAGCTGATACTCAAGGGAGCAGATTAGTACTACATGGTTCTCAGTGTTTTCGTCTCTGAATCTCACAGCCACACCGTGAAATATGGGACGCTGGGATTCGACCTGGGAGAATATAACACTCAAAAGTAAGTTTAAGCGTCAGGTGTGCTGGTCCATGTCTGCAATCCCAGCACTCAAGAGGCTGGGGCAGGAGGATTGCTGTGGGTCAAGGCCAACCTGGGCAACACAGTGAATTCAAGGCCATCCTGAACTGTATAGCAAGAACCTGTCTCAAACAAACAAAAGTTTTGAGTATGTCCAAACATACGTAGTTAATAAGAGAAGTGGAAACAGACCGAGCTTAGTCTTAAATGTAGGGCATATTCCAGTAACTACACTGCTACCGTATGAAAAATCTGAAGCCCCACTGAGAATGCTCGGTTATAGCTTGTGTCTAGATGTCCCCCAAAGCCGCATGTGGTCACAGGCTATTTTGGAAGTGGCTGAATCTAGGGTATATGACTGATTCATGGTGGGGTTAGGCCCAAAGGCACTAAGATTAAGGGCATGAGTGCTACCCACCCTAGGTAGTCTAAGATAAAAGGGACAGGGAGATGCTGTTCAGGTCTCTTGTTGCCTTTGCTGTGTTCCTCGCCGTGACCTGTTGCCCCTCTGCCATGTGCCATTCTGCCTTGGAGCCAGCTGACTATGGGCTGAAGCCTTTACAAACTGAGCTAAATAAACCTTTCCCTTTAACTGCAGGTCTTGGGTACTTTGTCTCAGCAATGAGATAAAAGTAACTAACACATACTCCAATACCACATCACAGAGAGAACCACCGTTAGCCCTGTGGTATGGTTTCTTATATTTTTTTTTCCCTGTCCAATATATATGTGCACAAAGAAATATTTTAAAAATTACGATAACATAAAAATAAAATTCCCTCCCCTTATGTCTAAAATAGTGACAGTTAAAATGGTATTATAATATGCCTGAATTGTAATTGTTAAAATTTACCAATTAGGAAGTTAATTTTGATTAACTAGATGAAAAGGAAGCTGTTTCTGTGTTTTTCAGTTCTGTTTGTGAAGGAACTGACTGGGGTGCTGGGAATCTCTACACTGGCATGTTGAATACAGCATTCACTTAAAGGAGTTAACATTACCCACAAAGTCTGAATGTGTTTATTCCTTTATAAAATTTGTTCTCATATGGCTTCCAAAATTCTTTCCAGTTTGGTAAACTACATATCAGTTAGAAGAAAGAGTATCTTTCTTTAAGAGAACTATTAATTTAGGGGAGAAAAATTCTTACAGATCTAATCTCTTCCAATACACATTACATTAAATAAATCCTTTTCTTCAAAATGTTACCTGTAAAGCTTTCAGGCGCTCTTCTGTAAGGTTTTCCAGATTAGTAATTTTTATAGTTACCAGGGTTCCTGTAGGAATATGCCGTGCAAGATGTACAGAGGTTAGGTTGTCAAAACCTCTTCCTGTCATCAGACATAAAACTCATGTCAGTAACCAAGGACGAAAAAAATTGACACTGGGTACTTCATCAAAATTAAAAACTGCTGCTCTTCAAAAAACATTTAAAAAAATGAAAAGGCAAGTTTTGACTGAAAACATTAATAGTTATGCCTGATAAGACTTCCATCTGGGACACATAAAGAACTTTCACAATTCTATAAGATGACAAGCAATCCAGTTAGAACCAGGCAGGTAGGGGGTGGTAAGGTACACCTGTAGTCCAGCTACTCAGGAGGCTGAGAAGGAGGATTGCTTGAGCCAGGGGTTCAGGGCCAGCCTGGGCAACATAGCAAGACCCCCTCTCACCAAAACAAACAAAAATAGGCAGAGCAGGCAATCCGCAAAATAAGATGCAGGAATGGCCAATATGCAAATGGGAAGATGCTCAAAATAGAGAAATTCAATTTAAAATAATGCTATACCATTACACTTTGATTGTAATGGCTAAAATAATGACATGATGTGACACAAATTGTGATACAGCCAAATGATGGAATGTTGTTCAGCAATGTCCTACCCCATTTCCAGTACCTAGCAACCACTGATGATTATCTTATGATATCAAAAAGGATGTAATCTTTTATGTTTAGCTTCTTTCCCTTAGAATAATGCTTCTTAGATTTACCCACACTATTTGTAACAATTTATTTTTTTAGTTTCCTCAGATGGTCTTGCTATTAGTTCAGGGTGCCCTTGAACTCACTATGTAGGCCAGGCTTGCCCTGAACATGCAGCGATCCTTCTTCCTCAGCCTCCCAAGTGCTGAGATTACAGGTGTGTGGCCAAACGCTTTTTCTACTGTTGAGTAATAATCTCTTATATGGATATACCACAGTTTATGGTTAGCAGATATTTGAATTGCTTTCAATTTTTTGAAATAAAACTGTCTCAGACATTGTTGCACAGGTCTTTAAGAGGACACACATTTTCTCTTTAGGAAATATTTGGGATTGCTGGATCCTGCTGTAAATGTGTTTGTTTCCAAGGCAGCTGCCATCTTGTATTCTGCAGTGTATGAGAGCTGCAGTTCGCTTGGCACGTGCACCAATAGCCGGTGCTGTCAGCTTTTAGGGAAACGGAGGAGTGGAACCCCTGAGCAGGCACTGCTCACTATCCTTCCCTCCTCTCCGGGCACCAAATTCTGCCCATTTTATATTCGCAATGAAGTGAATCTCCAGCTCATCTCCTCCTTTCTAGCTCCACATCCCTGCCTTGAAGTCCTCCTACCTCCCTGGGCACACACAATGAGTTCCTCACTACACCCTGAATGAGAGGGAACATCTTCAAAATGCCTGTGGCTAGGACCCATTCCCCAGAATTTTGTTTTCTTTTGCTTTTTGGGACAAGGTCTCGCTATATAGCCCAGGCTGGCCTCAAACTTGTGGTGATCCTACTGCCTCAGCCTCCTGAGTGCTGGGACTATAGGTGTGCGCCACCATGCACGACTCTCTCCAGAAAGTTTGATCCAGTGGCTCTGTAACAGAATATAATTATGGTGGGTTCCAAACTTCTGCCTAAATCCTTAGGAAGCAGGGAATAGGTGGGGGCCAGTTCCTAGCATGTTTGTGCAGGTCTGTCTCCTGCCATGGACCACTCTTCCCCTTATTCCCACTCAAGGTCACAAAGGAACAACACAATGATATCCTCCATCTCTCGATCCTCACACATTTACTGAGGTAAACTTTTTCAATCATTTAGATAAGCACCATCTGAACTGCCTTTCTAATTGTGGGACTCTGTCAGCAGGTAGTACTTTAGCAAAGCTCAGATCCTCATTGTCCCTTGGTCCCCTGACCCTGGCATGTGCCTCGTGCTTGGCCTAGTGGCTGATGGTATGAGAGAGACACACACAGGCAAGGGCTGTGTGAGCACTGCGTGCCCAATTTCTGTGCCAGGAGGACCTGACAGCCTAGGGCACTGCCAGGGTACTCCTGGTCACCTAGCTTCTCTGGGTTTCTTCCACATCTGCTCCTTGAGCCGATAATTCTGTGAGTCTACAATATTGTTCAAGAATTCCTCTTTTCCCTTTGCACTTAAGTTAGCCAGGATAGTTTTCTGTTGTTTATAACAAAAGGTGTGACTAGACTATCTAGCAAATATTCCTTTTCTTGAGACACCGGACTCTGCCATTATTATTATTATTATTATTTTTTTTTACTCTTAGAAGAAAATCTCCATTATCTCTGCTCCCGTAACCTCCAGCACACACTTCTACCATACTCCCTTCTACTCTCCTGTGTTTGCTCTTCACAAGATGACACAACCTCTCCCCAGCACCCATCAGCCCCTGGCCTGCAGTGTTCAGCAGATATTTCTGAATGTTCAAAGCAAATATATCACATAGAGAGCTATAAACAATAACTCATTCGTCACTTAACTGAGAAAGGTTTCTACTGCAAAAGGAATTTTAGGTAAGATTTCAAATTGAAAAGTAATGTGGTTAAAGACCTGTGACTAAAGATTTAGGTGATGAAAGCTGGATGTGGTGGCCTCTGCTTCCAGTTCCAGCTACTCAGGAGGCTGAGGGAGAAGCAGTTGAGCCCAGGAGTTCAAGATGAGACTGGGTTACATAAGGAGACCCCATCTCAGCAACAACAACAAAAAAGATTTACATGATAAATATACCCATAAATCTAGGAGCTTTCCACAATACGTAAATAAATAAATAAATATTTATTTATTTATTTATGTATGTATGTATGTATTTATGTATTGGTACCAGGGATCAAACTCGGGACCTTGTGTTTGCAAGGCAGGCAGCAGAACCACTGAGCTAAATCCCCGGCTCAATAATAAGTATTTAGATTAGCGTGATCCATCTCTAAATGTACTTAAGTGAAAAGTAAAACTGCTACAGAGTAGTACAAAAAAAATCGGGGCCATTATCTTAAAATAGATATAAAGTTAATTCATCTATTTGACACAGTAATGCCAATTCTACGCTGTGATAACAGAAAAAGACTTGCCTGTAAGATAATCTTTTTTGACATCAATTTCATTTCCAGCAATGAAAGGTTAGTGAAATCCAGGGTTCTTACCTATTTCCACTTGCAGTTCATAGTTAGAAACATCGGTGGAACATATCACCTCACTGCCTCTAGATCGAAGTGACCAGGAAAGGCTGGGCTCATCAACCTGCATTTTACATGAAGACAAAATAAGTCTAAACGTCTTTAGCCATCCAGTTTGCTCTCCCTCCAATGAAAGATACTGATACCATATTTTCAAACACACTTGGGAGGCACTGAGACATGCTGAAGAGACCATCTTCAGATAAAAGACATGTGCCCGGTTCTAAATGATGTTAGAGAATGATCAGCCTGTGATCAGGGAAAGGGCAGGAAAAGCACATGTACAAACAGCAGGGAACGTTTTCCAACATGATTCCCAGAAAAATGCTTAGAAGTTGCTGAGAATGGCTAATAATTCTTCAGGGTCCCAGTGAGTGTCAGGGAAGAGCTGCAGCGGCGGAACAGGTACGCCACACTGTGCTCTCTGCGCCTCTTTCTCCTCCTCAGAGTGAGCGCTGCCAGGGAGGCTCCCCGGTCAGGGCACAGTGCCCACACTGCAGCCTACTAACCCCACTGGGAAACTTCACAACATGGAATGGATAAAACAGGAGGTCAAAGAGAAGAAGAACTCTATTGGGATGGGGATGGCGTGCAGACCTCCCAACTGAAGGGCCACATACCAAGACCAAGACTCACGAGTGCCTGGAGCCGCAGACAGGCTGTACCTAAACAGAGTGGCAGTGAAAAAGCGAGCGTGGAGAAGAAGAAGGAAGAGACCTAACCCACTGGCATCCTGACAGCATGAAGACTTCTTGAGGGACACTCAGCGGCCTTTGTAGGGACCAGCAGGTGGCAGGGATCTTGTTACTTCCTCCAAGCAGGGGAAATGGAAGAAGAGAAACATTACATTACCATGTGCTAAGAATTGTGCTAAGTACTTTTTATATCTTGGTTCCTTAATCAGGAGAAAGAGATGGAGTTTGAAGCACACAGATGGATTCATGGATAGTGGATGGTGGCAGACATGGTCCCCAAACTTCTGTGAGAGCAGGAAAAAACATCATAAGCCCATGACTAAAGATGAGTAAAGGTGAACATACTCCAAGAGAAAGAGGAATGAAAGGTGCTCCCAATTTTTTTTTTTTTTTTTTTTTTTTCCCGGGATT